TAATAAAACTATTGGCTTAGGTCTCTATCTATTGACATGGGAGGAGGGTATGCGTGGTGTGATATTAAGTCAAAAGAGCCATTTTTGCAAAAAAACTAATATCAACCTAAACCGTAGATGCGTACGATGTGTATGTTGTTGTTGTTGTTAGTTGCTGTCAAGCTGATTCCAACTCATGGCGACCCCATGTGTGCAGAGTAGGGTTTTCAAGGCTGTGACCTGTCAGAAGCATATCGCCAGGCCTGTCTTCCAAGGTGCCTCTGGGTGGGTTTGAACCGCCAACCTTTCAGCTAGTAGTCGAGCACTTAACTGTTTGTGCCGTCCAGGGACTCTGTGATGTATATACTTGTTTGCAAAGATTGAGCATGGGGAGTGATGGGGAGGACTATACAACAGACACACTAGGCGGGTGAAATTAGTGATGGGGCCAGGGAAGGGAAAGTGGAGTAAGAATGTAAGGGGAAAAAGTGGCAAAATAGAAAACCATGCATGATATAATGTTAAGTGAGAAGCTAGAATGAGAAATAATTCTGTCTCTAGTATTAGTGCAAAATATCCAGTTTTTTAATTAACATATATTGTTGTTGTTAGGTGTTGTGGGGTCAATTTTGCTTCACAGTGACCCCATGTGACAGAGTAGAGCTGCCCCATGGGGTTTTCTTGGCTGTAATCTTTATGGGAGCAGATCTCCAGGTCTTTCTCCCATGGAGCTGCTGGGTGGGTTCAAATTGCCAACTTTTCCGTTAGCAGCCAAGCATTTTACCACTGTGCTACCAGGGTTAGAAAGTAATATGGAACTATACAGACACTGATCTTGGATAACTATATAATTTGTATATAAATTATACATGTATGTATATATATATATAATTACATATATATGGAGAAAGGGAATGATGAAGCAAAGCAAATGTGATAAAATGTTAATATCTGGAGACTGGGTTAAGGGTACATGGAAATTCTTTATGCAATTCTTTGTACAATTTTGCAACTATTCTGTAAGTTCTGAAATATTTCAAAATAAAAAGTTAAAAGTTAAAGTTAAAAATTAAAAAAAATACAGACACTGAGATTGTGGACAATTGTCATCTTAAATTTCAATTGTTATTTTAATACCATTCTGTCCACAGAGAAGTGCTGCTTTAGAAAAAAAAAGAAGAAAGAAAAACTCTTGAAGGTGCCCCCACTCTCTCCACTTTCCCACCCCAGTCCAGGTCCAACCAGGCAACCATTATTTGTTGTAATCCCAAATTGATCTCCAATCCTTCCGTCTGTCCCAGTATGATTCCCAGTACAATTCATCCTGCCCACAGCTAACAGATTACTCTTTTGTTCCAAAACTGTCCTGTTTCCCCACAGTCCATCCAAGCAACTTAAATGCCTCTCTTTGGCATTAAAGGCCCCCAATAATCTGGCCTCAAATTGCCTCTTCCTTCTCCCCAACACCAGACCACCGTCTTGCCAGTCCAAATATGGTTCTAGAAAGAATTCTGATTTCAACAAGTCAAATTGGCAAAGGAAAATTTCCCTTAGTACCAGGAAAATCCATTGCTTTCAAGAAAAATTCAGAATATTTTCTTTGAAATATCTTGCTTAAAACTTCTCATATTTCTCTGGATTGACTATCTGTGTCCTGTATATCCACATACAGTGTCCACTCTCATTATTTCTGACAATTAATTTATTCCTCCAGTATCATCTAAGATGCCGGAGAAGGGCATTTGGTTCAAACGTATAATTCTATTTAGCAATGATGTCCAAAACAGCTTTAAAAACCAGTTGCCAGGGAGTCAACTCTGGCTCATGGTGACCCCATGTGATGTCACCAGAACTGAACTCCATAGGGTTTTCAGTGAATAAGGAAGACGGAAGAAGAATTGACGCCTTTGAATTGTGGTGTTGGTGAAGAATATTGAATATACCATGGACTGCCAAAAGAACAAACAAACCTGTCTTGGAAGAGGTACAACCAGAATTTTCCTTAGAAGTAAGAAGCAAGAAGGGCGAGACTGCGTCTAACATACTTTGGACATGTTAGCAGGAAGGATTAGTCCCTAGAGAAGGACATCATGCTTGGTAAAGTAGAAGGTCAGCGAAAAATAGGAAGACCCTCAAGGAAGTGGACTGACATAGTGGCGGCAACAATTGGCTCAAGTATAGCAATGATTGTGAGAATGGCACAGGACTGGGCAGTGTTTCTTTCTGTTGTACACAGAGTCGCTATGAGTCAGAACCGACTCAACGGCACCTAATAACAACAATTTTTCAGAAGTAGATCACCAAGCCTTTCTTCTGAGACACCTCTGGGTGGACTCAAATGCCAACATTTCAGTGAGCAGCCAAGCACATAACCACTTGCACCAAAACAGCTTTACTGCAGATAAAATCATATCAAACTCATTGCCATCGAGCCGATTCTGACTCACAGCAACCCTACAGCGACCCTATAGGACAGAGTAGAACTGCCCCATAGGGTTTCCAAGGAGCAGCTGATGGATTCGAACTGCCAACATTTTGGTTAGCAGCCAAACGCTTAACCACTGTGCCACCAGGGCTCCAAAACTCATATTAAGTATCATAAACTAAATCTTCCTTCCTATGGGTCTTCGTTCATTGGAGCACATGAAGAATCTGAATACGCACCATGGGAAGACCACAATACTCATCACCATTCACCCCTTGAGGAATGCTGTGCCTTCCCTCCACCACTCACAACCTACTCATCTTTGAGTCCTTCTTAGAGCTTTCCTTCCTATGACTTCCCATGACTCCAACCCACATCAGTCTTGCCCACCATGCTGCCTTGTTCTGCTTTTGCATTGTACAGCCCTTCTCTCCAACCAGATGATAAGCCCCTTGAAGGCAAAATCTGGTCTCAGTCTTCTATGTGTCTCAGTCTTCTCTATGCAAAGCACAGAGGTAGCCACATAGTTCCCTAACTGTTTGGGCAATGTTTTATGTCTTAAGCTAAGTGATGTCCACAATATTGTTAAGGTTTTTTTTTTCTCCATATGTGAAATATTTCATAATTATTAAACTAGCAAATAACAAACCACTGGGAGCATTCCTTTCACATAACACTGCATGGAAAGGAGCAAGAAGCAAAATTGGATATGCACTATACTCCCAATCCTGTAAAAAGAGAACAAATCAAAAACTAGAGAAAATAAAAATTTTTTAAAGACCAGTAGATAATACACCAAAACTGTTAGAAGTGTGGGGGTGATTTTTATTGTCTTCTTTATACCCAATGCTTTATTATATTTTCCAGACTTTTTATAGAGAGTACATATTGTTTTTGGAATAATAATCAAATATTACTTTTGTTTCTTAAGATATACTTGTTCACCCTAGATACCAGGGTATGGTAAAATTTAGCCTGAAATCAGGAGAAAACAATTTTTTCAGCTTCTACTGCAGGTAACCCTTATACTAGACCTTGGAAGAAACTGTTCAAGTAAATATACCATATCAAACTCAGAGTCTGACAGGTCCAAGTTCAAGCCCCAGCTTCACCCTTGCCTGAGAGCTGACTTGAGTCTCAATTTTCTTATTCATAAATGGTAATAAAAGTACTTTCTCTGCTTGCCCCATGGGGCCATTATGAGGGTAAAACGAAATGAGGCCCATAGAATGACTTTGTAATCCACAGCGGACACTTCTGCATAAGACACTACATGTCACAGGAGACACGAGGCACCAAGAGGGGACCACTGCACTTCCTGCTTTCAAGGAGCCCAAAGTGCAAGAGGAGAGATAGCACAGAAGACAACCCGGGATAGACCGACAGACACAAGAACAGTCTGTGCAGTATAGAGAGTGGGACAGGATCAACCTGGATCAGGGAGGGAGGTTGTCCAAGTGCAAGGGAGTCTGTCACATCACTACTAAATAACTAGAAGGGATAACCTTTGCCCTTAAGCAACATAAAATATACTTCTAGCAACCAAGCAAACACATCTCAAGCAACACATGAACAACATGAAGGAGGAAAAGGTATTTCAGAAATTAAGATGTCAGGTTTGGGAGCAGCTGACTTAGGTTTGAATACTGGTGCCCTCGCTGCCTAGCTAAGGGTCCGTGAGCCTAGGCGAGCTTTCCTCATTTGTATCATACGGAGAAACACGTGGCATGTAGGCCCTGCTGGGAGGATTGATTGAACCACAGGTTCAGTATTGAGCACCTGCCCTGGGCCAGGTGGTGTTCTGGGAGCTGGGGAACCAAACAGACAAGGCTGCTGGAGTGGCCTGGAGAGGGCTTGGGGGAGGCAATAAGAGTTTTCAGACAGTTGAAGAGCTGGTGGAGGAATAACATAAGGCAGAACAATGACGGCAACCATGAAACTGGCATTCACTGAGTGCTTACAATGTAAGGACTTCACGTACAACAACTCACTTAATCCTCAGCAATCCTATGGAGTGGATACTATTATCATTCCCATTTTACAGATGAGGAAACTGAAGCACAGATCAAGGTGGTCACTTGTCCAAGGGTGCACAAGTGGCAAAGCCGGGAATGGACACCAGTTGGTTTGCTCCCCTCTACCATTTGTTCAAGGAGCCCTGATGGTGCAATGGTTAAGCGCGCAGCTGCTAACCAAAAGGTCGCCAGTTTGAATCCACCAGCCGCCCCGCAGGAGAAAAGACCTGGCGATCTGCTCCCATAAAGATTACTGCCTAGGAAACCCTATGGGGCAGTTCTATACTGTTCTGTGCGTTTACTATGAGTCGGAATTGACTCAACAACACACAACAACAACACTGTTCAGATTGGTGGACGCCCCAGGGAAGCTGGTTTTAAGAGCTTGGAGCTTCGTTTAAAGATAAAAGCAGTGATATTTAGGGTGTCTGAGCTGTAGCAGGATGACTGTCTGTCATAGCTTCTTTGTGGGGATTCCTGGAAGTGTCAGATGAGTGATTCTTTCTACAGAAGAGGCAGTGCCTGGAGCCTTGGTGGTGATGCCCTTGGATGCTAATGAGTGGTTTCCTCTTGTCTTTCAGCTCACAGCCCCACACTTCCCCGTGGTGGTCAAGCTGGGACATGCCCACGCTGGAATGGGAAAGGTAAGAGAAACAACTCTTATGCCCATGTTGGGTACTCACATAGCTTCCCAAGACTACCTGCCCCCTTCTTCCTTCATTTCCCTGCCATCCCCACCCTTAGTCCAGCCACCAAGAACAGAGTGTTAACCAGTCCAGGATGTACCTCCCTCCCCTCCCCAGACTACCTTTCTCTGAGCTCCCAAAGCTTGGAACATCTCTCCAGCTAACCCTGTATTTGCCTAATCCTACCTGGAATTGCTAGCCAGTTGTTTCCTATGATTGTGGCTTAACAGAAATGGATGTAAAGTATTTTATAGATGGTGATGCTTTTGTCAGGGGTTGCTGTCATTATCTCCCCAGTGACATTGTAAGCTCATGTCTTACTCATCTCTGTATCACCTGCAGGGCTAGCACCTAGAAGGTGGCAAATACATATGGCTCCATGGAGGAAGCCCCTGGGGCATTAGCTTCTGCAAAAGTAAATAATGTATTTTACATGGTCACAGTGACATGCCCTGACAAACTGTATTGGTCAGACTTTTCCAGTTGCAAGTCGACAGTCAACTCAAGTTAATTTAGGATGAAAAAAAGATAATTCACTGGCCCAAGCAATTAAGACGTTTAGGATAGTTCTAGATAGATTGGGTAGAGCTGGATCCAGGAGCTCAGATGATATTGTCCGAGCTTGGTCTCTCTCTATATCTCTTGTTGTTGTTAGGTGCTGTGGAGTTGGTTCCGACTCATAGCAACCCTACATACAACAGAACGAAATGCTGCCCGGTACTGTGCGGTCCTGCACCATCCTCATGATTGTTGTTATGCCTGATCCCATTGTTGCAGCCACTGTGTCAATCCATCTCGCTGAGGGTCTTCCTCTTTTTCGCTGACCCTCTACATATATTTATATATATCTCTTGGCATGTTCATTTCTACTTGATGTTTTCTTCTGATAGAGTTGCCGTGGGCAGTCCACACTGGTCCCTAAGCGCACGGTCCCAGAGGAAGAAAGACCCTCTCTCTTTCCAGTGTCTCTATAGCTAATTTCATAGAAGGACCTTGACTGGCCCTGCTTTGGTTAATGCCCACTCTTATAACCACGGGAGATGGTTCAGCCCCACTCAAACCATACGGATCAGGGTTCACTCTGGAAAGAGACCTGCTCCTAGATAAGGGGAAGGGGACTGTGGGGGAGTGTGGTGGGCTACCATGGTCCACTTCCCAAACCTCTGACTCAGATAGAACCAAGTGAGAACCTATGGTACTCAGTGCCTGACATCCCCATTGGAGGGACCTGAGCCCAACACAGTGGTCCAAGACAGGGGCTCTAAGATAAAAGAAACCCTTGCTTTGAATAGGCCTGGATCAGCCATAAATGACAATTCTGCACCAGGCACCTCTATTCTTCCACCCTGTTATGCCTTTTGTATCCTCTCTTCCCACCTAACCTCAGGTAGCACAGAATGGAAAGGGTCAGGAAACAGGTCAGGGCATAACCTACAGCTCAGACATTTGTGCCAACTTGGGAAAGTTATTATCTAACCTATCTGAGTCGTGGACTCCTCGTCTGTCAGATGATGATGATTTTAATAACTGTCTATATAATAAATCTTCACTCAATACTGTATCTCCCTATAAGTTACACATTATGAGGATAGAAATTTTTGCCTGTCTTTCCACTGTTGTATCCCAGGGCCTAGAATGGCACCTGGAACACAGCAGCCTCTCAGTTTGTTGGTTGAACGGATGAATGAATGAAAGGATCCCTCTTTAGATTATACAAGTATCTAAAGATATTGTAGCTGCTGTAGCAACTTACCACAAACTTGGTGACTTAAAACAACAGAAATTTATTCTCTCACAGCTCCAGAGACCAGAATCATAAATAGCATCACTGTGAAAGTCAAGGTATCTCCAAGGCCACACTCCCTCTGGGGCTCTAGGAGAGAATCCGTTCCTTGCCTCTTCCAGCTTTGGGTGGCTGCTGGCATTCCTTGGCTTGTGGCCACACTTCTGACCTCTGCTTCTGTCTTCGCATGGCCTCCTCTCCGTGTGAAAACTTCCTCTGCCTCTCTCTTATAACAATACTTGTGGTAGCATTTATGGCCCACTTAAATAATCCAGGATAACCTCTCCATCTCATAATCCTTAATTTAATCACATCTGCAAAGGTCCCTTCTCAAAATAAGATGACATTTACACGTTACTGGGATTAGGACCCGATATGGTTGAATGGCCATTATGCAGCCTACTAAACCACACTGCTGTTGAGTCAATTCCGACTCATAGTGACTCTATAGGACAGAGTAGAACTGCTCCATAGGGTTTCCAAGGAGTGCCTGGTGGATTCAAACTGCCAACCTTTTGGTTAACAGCCATAGCTCTTAACCACTATGCCACCAGGGTTTTCTGCAGCCTACTAGACCACCTGATACCTGTTCCCTACTTCCTCTGGTCCCACTCACTCCTCCATCTCCTGTTATCTGCTCCAGCCTCCTCCATTCCCCTGTTGCTGTCCTCACCGTGGTATCATTGATCCCTCTGTGGCTAATTCAGTGGGCACTTTTCTGTCTGCGCCTGAATTGATCTCTCCCTGTCATTTATTAAGAGCTTGGCTGCTAACCCAAAAGTCGGTAGTTCAAATCCACCAGCCACTCCTTGGACTAGTTGTACTCTGTCCTATAGGGTCACTATGAGTTAGAATTGGCTCAGTGGCAATGGGGCTGGGATCATCCTTCTATCCTGAAACTCCTCCTCAGCAGTCTCCAGTTCATGCTCCTTTCCCGGCTTTCCTCTTCTCTCTCTGGCCACTCCTTCACTATCTCCTTCAAAGACTTTTCTTCCGGCTCTCATCTCTATTCCATTAGCCAAAGGTTCAGCTTCATCTGCCAAAGGTCGCCCAAATCACATTTCCCACCCAGAGTGTCAGGCTTATATATCCAACTACCTCCTCTACGTCTCTACCTGTCTTCTTCCATGGGAATCTCAGACTCTAAATGTTCAAGACCACACCCGTTATCTTCCCCAACAAGCCACCGTAGCACCTTCTCCTCCTGTGACCACCATCTTTAAAAGGAACCACTAGTAGCTCAGCCAACTCAAAAAAGAAAACTGGGAGTCATCTCTCCCTCCCTTATCTCCAAGTGGTCAGCAAGTCTTGTCAACTGCCGCTTGCTGATGTTTCTCGGGAGTCTCTGGGTGGTACAAATGGTTAGTGCGCTCAGTTGCTAACCCAAAAGTTGGAGTTCCAGTCCATCCAAAAGTGCCTTGGAAGAAAAACCAAATCCAAACCACTGCTGTCAAATCAATTCCGACTCATAGCAACCCTATAGGACAAAGTAGAACTGCCCCACAGAGTTTCCAAGGCTGTAATCTTTACAGAAGCAGACTGCCATATCTTTCTCCTCCAGAGTCACTGGGCAGTTTCGAACTGCCAACCTTCTGGTTAGCAGCTGAGTGCTTAACCACTGCCATATCTTTCTCCCCCAGAGTCACTGGGTAGGTTCAAACTGCCGACCTTTCAGTTAGCAGCCAATGGTGCAGTGGTTAAGCACTCAGCTGCTAACCTAAAGGTTGGCAATTTGAACCCACTAGTCACTCAACAAGAGAAAGATGTGGCAGTCTGCTTTGGTAAAGATTACAACCTTGGAAACCCTATGAGGAGTTCTACTCTGTCCTGTAGGGTCACTATGAGTCAGAATTCACTCAATGGCAATGGGCCTTGGAAGAAAGACCTGGTGATCTGCTTCTGAAAAATCAGCCATTGAACACCCTATGCCAAATAGCTAAAACAATGCAGAAAGAGAAGAACAAAGTAGGAGGACTCATACTTCCTGGTTTTAAAACATACTATACAGCTACAGTAATCAAAACAGCCTGGAACTGGTATAACAATAGACACATAGACCAGTGGAATAGAATTGACAGTCCAGAAATAAACCTTCACGTCTATGGTCAACTGATTTTTGACAAGAGTGCTAAGTCCATTCCATGGGGAAAGAAGAGTTTCTTCAATAAATGGTGCTGGGAATATTGGATTTCCACATGCATAAAAGTAAAACAGGATCCATGCCTTACACCATACACAAAAACAAATTCAAAGTGGATTAAAAACCTAAATGTGCAAACTAAAACAGTAAAATTCTTAGAAGAACAAGCAGGGGCAACGCTGTCAGGCCTAGCCTTCAACAATGGATTCTCTAATATAACAGAAGTACAAACAGTGAAAGACAAAATAAATAAATGGGACCTCATAAAAATTAAAAACTTCTGTTCATCAAAAGACTTTACCAAAAAAGTGAAAAGAGAAGCTACCAACTGGGAGACTATCTTTGGAAATCATATATCCAACAAGAATTCTAATAATCAAAATATATATAAAACTTCTACAACTTAACAGCAAAAAGACAAATAACCCAATCATAAAAAGGACAAAGGAATTGAATAGCCATTTCACCAAAGAGGACATTCAAATGGCCACCAAACACATGAAAAGCATCATTAGGTATCAGAGAGATGCAAATCAAAACCACAATGAGATACCATTTCACTCCCATTAGGATGGCTAACATTTAAAAAAAAACAGAAAATAACATATTTTGGCGAGGATGTGGGAAAATTGGAACCCTTATCCATTGCTGGTGGGAATGCAAAATGGTACAGCTGTTGTGGACAACAGTGTGGTGGTTCCTCAAAAAACTAAAAATAGAACTGCTATGTGACCCAGCAATTCCACTTCTAGGTATATACCCAAAAGACTTGAAAGCGGAAACTCAAAAAGAAATTTATACACCAATGTTCACCGCAGCACTATTCACAATAGCCAAAAGTTGGAAACAACCTAAATGCCCATCAACAGACGAATAGATAAACAAAATGTGGTATGTACATACAATGGAATACTATTCAGCCAGTAGGAGAAATGCTATGGTATGGATGGAGCTTAGAGGTATTTTGCTGAGCGAAATAAGCCAATCACAAAAGAACAAATATTGTATAAAAAGACAAGAAAGGGCAAATGTACA